ATGATGTTTTCAATTTTTTTTGAGAATTGGTAGAAATTAAGGGATAATTTAGTATAGTTAAGTTCGAAATCGCGATTCAATTTTTAAACTTCGTCAATGATTATATTCTTAATTTGGCTGTAGATTTGGCTCTGAGGCACCTATAAGGGCGCTAGGGGTCTTAAAAGATAGGTCTTGAGATGCTTTTAATAAGCAGTAGTATTGGGGAAATTTTTCAGTATTTTGTTAATGTCCTCACAATAAAAAGCGTGGGAGTATTAGGTGGATAAAAGTATAGAAAATCGGAAAAAATTGAATATTTCAAATGCCGCTATACGGAGCTAGGGTGCAATATTCCGGTCGTAACCTACGCCATTTTTTAGCTTTTGGCACACCAAAAAACACCCCGAAGTTTAGAAACGATCGGTGTTTCTCCAAGCGAACCTCAGCTATTACAAAACTCGAAAAATGGCGATTTTTGCGGTTTTTAGCAATATTCAAACGGCTCTATATCAGTCAATTTTGAAGCAATCAAAATTCTGAAAAAAGCAAATTAAAGGTCTTGAAAAGACCTTTAATTTGCCGGTTTCAAAAGTTAAATTGCTTCAAAATTGACTGCTGTAGAGCCGTTTGAATATTGTTGGAAATCCACAAAATTAGCTATTTACTTGAATTAAGCTCGAGATGTGGCTATCGTCGAAAACCTCGGGGTCAATTTTTTTTCAAAAAGTACTTTTTCAGACGAAAAAAATGAGCCCAACTACGTCTCTGAAAAGTCAAAACTCCGCTTTGTAGAATTTTTCGAAAATCGACAAAAAACAGCGAAAAAAACCACGTTTTTCGACACTCATTTGTCGCTTGGCACTTCCAAAAATTTTTTTCCGGGCTGAAACTTTAGGAAAAGTCTTTTTTTATGTTGTTTAATAACATATCTTTTTTTCAGATTTTTTTGAAATACCGCCGCGCACACTTTTTTAAAAAAGTAGGAGAATGACCCTATATCGTTATTTTAGTTTTAACCTGAACTTGTATTCCAGATTTTACTAAATCACCATTCAATACAGAAACTTCTCAATTTGATAATAACCGTGAAACAACAGGTTTAGATAATTTCTCTACCACTCTGTCTTCAGGATACAAGACTAATGAGTACCATGATAATGGAGGACGTGGAACGATTCGTTATAATAATGGGGTTGTTGCAAACAAAATTCCTGAAAATGATATAGATGATTATAGAACTTCACCTTACACCAAGTTACCAAACTCGTTCATTATAAATGCGGGTAATGGAGAGAATGAACAATCGAACATAATGAAATTTGAAGAAGAATACCCTGAAGGAACTTACACTAATACTGGATTCACAAAAACTGGACCTACTAAAACTGGCATCACTACAGCTCAAGTTGGAGGAAGCGGGAGTTACGTATTTGGTACTGGATTCCCCCGGCCAAAACCAAATCCTCAACTAATTGGTGAACATGCATTTTCTGGTCATACTACACCAAGCTCAAATGACGTCAAAAATAAGCCTAATAATATTGATACTAATAAACATAAAAATCCCATTTATCATCCAACTGTAATAACTCCAAACCATGATAATGAAGATGAAACCAAAACTACAGGCTATTCGTATCCTAAGCCTAATAATATTGATACTAATAAACATAAAAATCCCATTTATCATCCAACTGTAATAACTCCAAACCATGATGATGAAGATGAAACCAAAACTACAGGCTATTCGTATCCTAAGCCATTAATAGAACTTGAAGTGAATGGAGTCTCAACGATATCTGGAGTAACACCAACTAATTTTGATGATCAAACAACGCCATCATTTTTTTCTAATACTCAACCATTCAGGGATCAGAATTCTCTTTTAATAAAAAATGATGCGGAAGATAGCAATAAAGCCACCCTCTCCCCTGCTGGATTTACAGCTAGTCAAGAAAATAACTTCTATACAAATGAGCATGATGATAAGTCTCAATCAAAAACGACTGTACAACCAAACGATTATACAACCCAACCTAGAACTGTTTTGGACTTTGGAGTGTCTTTCGATCAAGAGGGTGACTATGGCCCAACTGAATCCGATTCAACTGAAATAACTCCTGGTTTGAAATCAGGAAACATACCGAAAGAAAATGCTAAAATTGTGTATAGAAATTATCAGAAATTTGACGTAAATAAACTTCAGGTAAATTTAAAAAAAATCTAAAACTTTACTCACTTTTAATACCTTTTAAATAAATGTTAAATCATCTATTTTGCAGGTAAATCAAAATAGTGGAATAATCAGATCAAATCAGAGAAGTCACGAGCAACTTAACGATTTCAATAAACGGCGAGGAATTCAAAGTAATTCGCAAGACAATACTTTTGGAGTCCATGTGGATTTTACACAACAGGTAAAATTGTATCTATTATTATTATACTATTTTCTACCTTTCATTAAAATTAATTAAATATTATAATTAGGTTTCCTCGTATCCAGCTGCAAATAGATATCCCATTATCTCTGCTGAATTAACAGGAACTCGCCCTCAAGATTTCAGCCAAAGTTTATCTGAAACGCGCATAAATAGAATTCAAGAAAACAAACCATCGCTACATTTGTCATCGAAAGAATCGAAAAAGGGATTTACGAATAATCAAGAATCTACCAAATCAACTGATTTGCGGCCGAATCAAGGTTCATCGTTCATTTCAAATGAAGGCTTGACTACTAAATCTTCGATAGATAAATACTCGAATAAGCAAACATCAACATTTATTCTGCGCAATCAAGCACAAGCCAGGCCACTCATTGGGTCAGATGTTGTAACATCTATCGGAGGCTCTGTATTCAATAGTGAAATACTTGGGCCAAATTCAGCGAAACGGAATAATTTTCGTATTATCTCAGAATTCAATAACGCACAAAGTGCAACTACCGCGTCCCCAAGTATAAGAAATTTAAATAAAGAAAACAACCAAAAAAAGGTAATTGTAAAACTGAGCGACTTGCATCCTCTAATCATCGAAAAATTAGGGGCTGAATGTAGCTGCAAAGCTGACCCCCTTTCATCATTTATTGGGTCAAATAAACCGAATTTACCTATTGATTCTCAAAATCGAGGACAAGTCAATTTGGCCAATTATGACGAGAGCAATATTTATGTCGATCTTGACGATAACAAAGAAAACAATTCCTTAAAAACAACAACAGCTAAACAAAATGATAGAAGAGTTATGGCAAAATCTCAAAACGAATACGTTAGTTCAACACCAGTCAGAGTACAATCTAATAATCAACCGTTAACGACAACTTCACAGCCTCAAGGTCGAATAGGAAATCTTGATAAAATAAGCTTCCGAGCTCAAAATAGGCCATCAGTTAGAGTAGAGACTGATGGGTTCGCGGCCTCCTTAAAATCTCGAAATCGATCCGGTAAGACTCTTTTCATTGGTTCCGCTACGAACAATTTCAGAAATAATTATTACGAACAACGTGGATCTTCCTCCAGTCTAAGTAATAACGAGATTCAAAAAGACATTTTACAATGCGTCAGACCAGGTCTTTTCAGACATCCACACTCATGCAACAAATTCTATGCCTGTCATTGGGACGAATGGAAGAAGCGTTTCACGCTTCACACCTTTAACTGTCCCGTACATTTGGCATTCGATACAAGTGCTGGTGCTTGCAATTACCCAAGCAAGGGTCCAGCATGCCAAGATGATAAGCTTCTTGTTTGAGCAAATTCAATGTTGCCATGATTTATACCGTGTGCTTGATAATAATGATAGAAGCACGTCACAAATAGGTTAGACTTAATCTTAATAATGATTGATGTTTAACACGATGAGAAAAATAAATGCAACTCGCTGACATGTTTGTTAAACAAAAACCAGATATTCTAACGTTATTTAGAATATATTAACAGTATTTCTCAGTAATTATAAAAACAATTACGTTCACGATGTTATCTGCGAAGTTAACGTATATGTTTAATTTATTCAAAATGTGGAATTAAGAGTTTCGATTATCTATTATATTATAAAAACAGATTGTCTTTAAAAGTAATTAAACTTAAGAACATTTTTTTCTAAAAAGTATTATAAAATTATCATATATAATATGTAGATTTTGTAATATAATCATAAATACGTTGTGTTTTATTAAGGCGCTAGTCATTGGCAAATCATAAAATACTTGGATAAATAATTATACTCGCCTAACCGTTTTTGCAAAGATATGCACTTTTCATTTTTTTAGATAAACAGCACCTTTCACAAAAGTAACGAGTTAATTAGATGATAATAATTTTGAAATTTCCATTGTAAATAAGTATTTGAAAAATCTAACAGTTCGTTTTAAGTATGAAATGCTCGCGAAGAAGTAAAATATGTGCCTTATTCTTATTTGTATAATATTTGAGTTAACTATATGAAAAATAAAAACGATCATTTTACATGTAAATATAAAACTATACTTGGTAAAAATGCATTAATTCTATTGATATTTCACCTATCATGTATTTAAATCGAAATAAAGACCAGGAGTTTTACATCTGGAAGAGAAAATTTCCAAACGATATATAATTAATTTATTCGTACCATAATAGAAAGTTTACTCAAACTATTAAAGTATTTTGTTCATCTGGATTATAACTGGGTAAAATTTACGATAAATAAATAAACCAAAATAACACGTTGCATGATCACTCGTAACTTCAAACGCAGTAGTGTGCAAGACAGAGTGAGAAAGAAAGAGAGAGAGAAAATGATAGAAAGCCATTTGAACAAGTTCAGTGAACTGTCGCTACTTGAATATGAAATTTTTTTCAAAAATTAAGCAATTTATAACGTTAATGATATAAGAATTAACTTATTTGCGATATTTCGAAATCTACTGCATATTCGGCAAATATACACATGATCAATTTGTTAATTGAAAAAACATGATTTTGAAAAAGTAAAACGAATTATTGATCAAAATCTAATCTATATTAAAGTGGGATAGATAATGCGGTCACGCTTTTTTGGCACAGCATTAGGCTTGAAAAAGACGGTGAAAGGATTGGTAAAAGGTAAAGCATATAGAATTGTTTTATTTGATCCACTGCAAAAGAGGGAGGATAAAAAGGACTTAAAAGTTCGTCGAAGTGAGTCGAAATGGAAAGTAGGCTTATCTCGAAAAAATACATCGATAACCAACATAAATGTTTTTCGTATGAAAAATTGCTACTCCTCTTGGATGCATCGCCAAAGGACTGATATTTATACCATTTAACATTTTGGCAATGACCCATTGTCGAAACAGAATAGAAAATGAACAACAGTCAAAACTATTAGGTAAAATAAAGTGAAATAAAAAAAAGGTTCACTTGCAGTGAGTTGAAGTTTTTTTCACCCACGCCTCGTTGCATCCGTTACACTTTCATCCTGCCAAAATAAGCAGGTAGTAGAGCTCGAACAATGGTGGCAAAGGAAAGGACTCGGCCGAGCGTTCGCATATACTTAAATGTAAGAGTGAGGGTATGTTCTCTGAGTGGTGGGAGTTGGGCTTTGAAGTCATATAAAGTTGGCTGCATTAAAGATCAGGCCCAGCGGACCTGAGTGAGCGCGAGCGTGGAGCAGGAGTCCGCGCGCGCTGCGAGCGCAGCGCCTGACATCTCCGCTCTTGCTGCACTGCAACAATTACAACTAACATGTAAGTTCTGACAATTTTTAATTAATAAAGTAAATCTTAGATACCTCATATGTATTTGGTGTGCGCAGCCAAAAAGTTGAAGTTATGTTTTCGTTTTATATTTTCCTGACTCAATTTCATTTTAATCTTAGAAAAATTATTTTTCATTTTTATAAAACGAATCGAATTGAAATTAAAATCAGCACTGCCATTAATCGTCACTATTCAAGGGTAACTAGTTTTATTTTTTCACTTTTGGTTAGAGCATCGTTTATTTTCAATCAATCAACCGATCTTAATTTGAATAACGACATTGTGTATATATTTTCCATTAGTCAATTCTACGAATCATCACTGCTATGTAAAGAGACCATCTTAACTCCCTGTATACAAAAAAACTCAACCCGTGGGGAGAGTACAGTTACTGCATATTATTGACGAATTTTCAAAATTTGCATCCACTTATTTTTCTTAACTTTATTAATCAAAAAAGACTTTGCAAGTAAAAAGACTTTTTTTACAAATATTCTTCCATGTTGCGTCCATCAAAACTTTCAAAATCGTTGTAAGACTTATATGAAAGAGGGTTTTTTCATTTAGGATTAGAATTACGAATAAATAATCACGCGCGCTGTTTCCTCATCACAGCTTTGAATGTATATGCATTTCAAATAAAAAAGCCTTGCCCGTAAAGTACTTCTCAACTACTGCGTCTGTGCGTCGCAAAGAGACAAGACACGTAATACTTTTTCGCAAGCATCTATAAGTCATCAAAAGTCGACGTTTTGCAACTGCAGTTACAGCTGCATGTATAATAATCTATAAACTATACTGCAGGACATTGGTAGAACATGACATATTTTATACATTATGCTTATACATTATGAATGAATGTCGCGAGCTGAAAAGTGAAAGGTTCTTTACTCTCTCTCTCTCTCTCTCTCTCTCTTTCTGGGTATATGAACACAATTTCAAATAAAAATTTACTTAAAAACTTTTTTTTTCACTGCTCGTGTCGTGGTATAAAATAATTTTTGCAATAAAATATTTATTTGCAAAAGATCTACAATCGTCCAAAATGAAAAAAGCAGCCCCTTCAAGATTGACCACTTTCTCGTTGACTAGAAAGTGGAACGATTTGATTCTGAACCGAGCGTGACAGCTTGTTTAGTCTTTACGATTAAACATTTTTGATCGAAAGCCCGCTCTTATTCGAGTCAAACAATCAAGGAAGGTTACCCGAAGATTAAAATAGCACCCCGATAAATGAAGTTTCGTAACGGCGCGTTAATTAAATATGCAGGTAGGGGCCGTAGCAGTAGAATGTCATAAGCGCGCATCTAGCGAACTCGAGAGACAAGGAGCTAATTGCTCGCATTGTTTTTATCTGCGTTACGGGAGCTGAACGAGCTTTCATGAAGGCGACTGCATAATGTTCAAGCATTGCATGCCCCTTGACGTATCTTAATTATTCACGACCTCGTAGAGAAGTTATTGAATTTAGTGTCATTTAGAGCTCACCATTGACGTAAATCGACGCTATGAAAAAATAAAATAAAATAAGACACAGACTCCGACAATCGAAAATTACTCATTACAAGCAGTGAAAGTGAAGCTGCAAATGAAATTTCTCACGATATAGCGATTCTCGTTGCAAAAAGTTTCTCATATACTTTTTCGCGCGCAGGCCGCAAATGCCCCGTAACTAATAAGACTTGCGCGAGTAAACTGTAAAAGAGAAATGCTTTGCACAAATAAAGCCTTTCACTTTTTAAATCGTCCAAACGATACGTTGTCGTGGTCCAGCTATACAAGTGAGTCTACGCACATTCTCATTTGACTTGAGCAAGTATAGTAGCTGAGATTTCTTGTTGCAAGTATAATTTCGCATCGTTGATTCAAATTTGAGATAGAGAGAGAGAGGAGAGAGGGAAATAGTCAATGCGCTGAAAAACATACCTTCGAAAAAATTACTACGTTCGTGGTACTGGTGGAATATACTTAAAAATTTTCTTCAAAAGTACTATACTGCAGCAAATTTTATTATGGCATATAGTACATTTTTTTTAAAACATATTAATTGGTAAAAGAAGTTTTGAGATTAACCCTTGGTTACTATCGACATGGCAATATTTACAGTGTACTTTTAGCATTCAAGATACTAATATGATCACGATAAATTTTTCATTTGATACTAATGAATATTTCCATTCTGAATTGAGAATTTAATTTGCAACATTGATAAACTTGTAGGTTTTTATATTTTTATTTTTCGTAGGCTCTTCCTTGCGGTGTGTTTGATTACGACTCTCAGCGGAGGGATCTACGGACTTGAAACTCCTGCTGCCTCGATCGCTACCATTGGCTCGAAAAAATTAGCCACTGCTTCCGATTGTTCAAAACCAGTTGCATTTTCCAGCGTTACACCTACTATCAAAGTAAGCCCGTACTTTCGTTGATGCGATGAAAAGAATTCTATGGAGTAATTACATGATTGTTATGCGCAATTTATAAATGTTACAAAATTGCGATAATAAAGAGGCATTTTTTATGTTATCTTTTTTTCTTTCTAATCGGTCACACATAAATGCGCAATCATATGATTCGATAATTACATAAAAAATCACTTGAAAGTGAGTTAAATTTTGCGCGATAATGACTAGGGAAAATCGCAGCTAAAAATTTATTTTCTTTCAGGATGGCGAATTGTTCTTCAATGAAACTCTGCTAGACAGCGGCGTCGGTTACAATACCGAGTCGGGCGTTTTCACAACACATTGCCCTGGACTTTATCAATTGAGCTACTTTTACAACGGTGACGTCAAGTTGACGCTGAGGCAAAAGCCGCGTGGCAGCGAGACCTGGTATAACGTCATAAGCAAGAGAGGAGGAGAAGCCAGCAGTGACCCACCATTATCGGGCAATATCGTCCTGCTGCGATTGGCCTTAGGCGATCAAGTGGCTCTGTTCGCAGACGGCAAGAACATCAATGCCGAGAGCAGCTTTTCCGGATTTCGCATCGCGAGGGAGTGAATCCATTCCTCAAGATTCATTACCATTGTTTTTTCCATTTATTTTGTCAGTCACTCTGTGATAACTTCTCAATTTTTCTTTCCTTTAAGTTGATCCAGTAAAAATCTTTGCCTCTTAATTTTTCACTCTACGCCTAATAGCTTTACATTTATTCTACACATCTTATCTATTTCCTCTTACTCTCGCTAATTAATGTAAATATTTTTTTCTTCTTCAACTACCTTTTTATACTTCTATTGAAGCTACTACTTTTTGTATTTTGCTCTACTTTATTTTCTACTTTGAATCTTACGCCTATAAACTTTTGTCAGATCTGACTCCCTACCTATCAGTATTACAAATTATCAATGAACTGCTTACTCTACTTACCTTTTAAACAATTTCGAGATTATGTATTCTTTTCCAGTGTTACTCTTTTCATATTATGTTTATTTCTCTCCGGTTACTCTTTCGACTCTGTTATTTATTCCTTGACTTATATTATTTTCACTTTATTACCATCTATTATCGAGATTTTTTTCTTGTGTTTTATCTTTCTTTTTTTCTTTTTCACACCTTTCTAATTCTTTTAACTGAATTTATTCTGTTACTTAATTTTTCAAGTATTTTCTCGATCTCTTGCGTATTTTTTTATTTCTGTAAATTATGCCTATAAAAATAAACTGTTGATCTCTATCCTCTTAAATTTTCATTCAAATCATTTTTTCTCAACATCTGTTCAGTATTTTTCTACTTTCTTTCAAGTAATCAATTCTTTTAAATTACTGAGTTTTGCATGCCTTCGTTTTCTCATTATCTTATTCAATAATATTGAATAAAGAATAGATATTTTTGATGTAAGCACCTTTCGGTTATTCTACTGCTTCATCTAGTCCAGATTACTTTATGATTTTATAAATTTTCTATCAATGACTTTCCTTGCATTGCAATTTATTTATTCTATTTTTCTACGTTAGTGCAATATTACGGTTAGTAATATTCTCTAGTATTTTCTTATTACATGTATACTATTTTGATTCAACTCTTCTCACCTTGTCGATGAAATGTTCCTTCTTAATTTCTAACTATGGTTACCAAACTGTATTTTATCCTCTGATTTCTCTATTATTTTTCTAAGCTCATCTGTCGTATTTTTTAGTATCATGCAAAGCTTTTTAGCAAATGTTATCACAGTTGCTGTTGTAGTAAAAAATTATATGTAATATGGATTTTACCAATTGATTGAGTATAATAATATTGTGAACTGAAAATTGTCAACCACCATTCAAAAATAAATACTATGATAAAAAGAATGCTAATCGTCATGTTTCAAACGATTGATTACATAAGAATCTTTCAATATATCATATAAAAGAAATGGTTCATCGACTGCTCGTTCCACCCAAGCGTTGTTGTATACTATTGTAAACGTTATCTCTATTTGAAGCTAGAAATGCAAAGAAAATTTGAGTTGCAAATATTTTAAAATATTTGAAGCCGTTTGAAGCAACTATTCATGATGACAATCACTCACCGGAACTTAATATCAGATTAATTTACGTAGGAAATTCAAGTAACTTCCTAAGGAAGTGGATCTACGCTGTAGGAACGTTATGACTCAGTCACATCAGCGAAAGAAAACACACATTTACGCGTATTCACTAGAATAAGGCACGATTCATACCCGATAAGGCATAGTTCTCATACATAAGCATCAGGTGCAAATATATGAGAGTACGTGTAATGAGATAGGCGTTTGCTTCACACCAAAAATTATCTCTCAGCGACACGCCTGACTATCAGATTAGATAAGACAACTTTTTTTACATCCGAGCACAATGAGGTGAACTAGGTGTGTGTGAATCGCTGCCAGTATTTGTCAGGTAATCCACCCAGTCGGTTCTGTTGTGCGAGAAATTTAACGTCTCTTTGATGTGATACATGTGCAATTGGCAAAAACACCGGCAACATGTCTTTGGGAGTGAAAATCAGTGGCATTTCTTTGAAGATTTTCAAATTGGTAAGTAAAAAGTGCGAAATAATCATTCGCCGTAGTGAACTGAAAATACAATGATAAAGTGCCAGTTGCTGAACGAGTAGCAGTTTTTAATAGAAGGCGTTTTACGCACCGTGCGTGATACATTGAAAAAAGCTACAGCATATTTTTAAGTACGTGAAGCATGCCTTTGAATATTTTTAAGATTTATTCGTTTTTCAGATACTTGTCATAATAATATTGATAATCTACCGAACGGGTTACGGCAACGGAGAATTTCTGGGCGTTGGTGGCGTTTGGAACCACAATGAGGCGAAAGGTGCCGATGCTGAGATCGTGGCATCCGGCACATTCATCGGCTTCACCGTGTACACGTTGATCGTGTTGTTTGCTCAGTGCTTCGACCAATCCAAGGGCAAATCATACCGCATAGAGATCGTAATGAACATTCTCGGTTTCTTTATGTGGGGTGCCGTTGGTTGCATTGCCCTGATATATTGGGGCGGCTATATGAATGAGCACAAGTACACTCAGGTTCTCAATGAAAAGCAGGTAATTTAAAAAAACATTAGCTAACTTCACACTCGTGGAAAAACTTTAATTGAACAATATTTTTCATTTTGTAGGTCGGTATAGCACTTGGTACCCTGTGCATCATCGAAAGCGCTCTGTATGGATGCGACACACTCATCGCCTACCGAGAGTTAATAAACTCACACTAAATTATATTTATAAATATATTGTGTAATCTCTCCCAAATTTATTTTAGACTGTAACTTGTGTATGTTAATAACTTTGTATATATTTTTCTATTAAAAATAAAAAGTAAGCTTCATATGTTTGTGTGTACAGATTTTTATGTAACTGGAATAAAGATGTATTGCGCACTACCGCAATAATTATACAAATGACTTTAAAACAATAATCGTTAAATAGTATTATTAATAATCAACGCCCCACACGTGTTCATTAAGTTTATCAAATAATAAATAAAAAGGATAAAATTTCTTGAATTACATTTATTACATTCAAGATCTTGTGAGTGAATATCGCGGAACATATACATTGTATTTTAAAAATAACAACTGATACTGCATTTAATACAAAACGACTTATGTACAAAATCATACAAATAAAATGATCTTAAAATTAGAATTTACTACACTATTTTGCTTTTACAAAAATAAGTTGAAAACTATTAAGTAAGTACAAGAGCATCTTTCAATAATTCAGAAATATAAATTCAATATGAGTAAAAATTCGAAATACTTTTCGTATAAAAAGGTAAAAAATTGTATTTTCGCCTAATAAAATTCCACCACGTTGATGCACGTCAGAGCACCATCGATAAGATGGAACAGGGCTTGAAAAACGCACAGAGAACCCAGTGTGAGCCCAATCTAAAATAAAAATGACACGTGATTATTACAAATAATTGCAAAAGTTCGAAGTGCGTGCAAATATTATTTATATTTACCACTCGTTCGGTGCTTTCTTCTAGGCCCCTGTCAGCTATAAATCCATGCCAATAATGTAGACATGTTCCGGCCACGGCGAGGTATAAAATGCCTCCTGCGATGTTCATAATGGCATCCTGATGCAAGAAAAATTGAAATAAGCCGTCATCGCGATAAAATTCAATATTAAATAATTGTTTATGCACTTGCCACGATTGAATCTTCATGATCTTTTCCTCCTAGTAGAACCGATACTAAAATCGCTGATCCATAAATAAGAAATCCAACAATCACGCCGGAAGCAACAATTTCGGAGTCTGGGCTTTTTTCTTCGTTCAAGTTCCAGGTACCACCGACGCCCAAGAAGTCGCCATTACTGCCTGTTCGGTACAAAATAACTATGATTAGACCGAGAACCTAGAAAAATAACACGAATCGTTAAATCATAATTATTGGTTGTTAAAAGTGTAAAATTTTGAAAAACTACAACGCACAATAACTTGCACTGAATTTGTTATTGATAAATCATTGTGAATCAAGCTTCATTTGGTGAAAAATTAACATCATAATTTATACGTTACTAATTTAGCAATGTGAAATAATAATATATCACTTGAGAATTGAGATTCAATATAAAAAAAGTATCACTCACCAATTTAACTCCTTTAAGGACGAAGTTTAAAATCGATCGGAGTTCCATGGTCCAAGGAATTTTGAATACAAATAATTGTTATGAAGAGAATTAAAACGCAAAAAAAAGATGCCGTGCAAAGCGCTCGTGGTCAATAACAGCGACAGACTGAATTTATGAAAATTATGAATAAGCGTACGATGCCTCTGCGTCTCCTTCTTATCTAATCTGATATGCGACAGGCGTTCCCCAGCCTGGCGTTGTAGTAACGCAAGATAAATTCGAGAGTCGAAATCATATCTCTGTCACTTGTTCTCTTTCGCACCTGTGCTGCTTCGTGAACGCGCATTATCTGCTTACCGAGTGTGTGCGTTGTAAGCTTTGGTGCGTAGCTCTCGTGGCGACCCATTTAGTCCACGTATGAAGATGATGTTTTTTAACATCACTATTTGGATAGCATGAATGATTCAAATTTTCGAACTATTTATATTGATCAACCATGACTTTGATTAATTCATATTGTCCAGGTGATTTCCCAAATTCTTTCATGGATACAGAGAAAAAAAATTCAAAACCAATATTTTTTTTCAATCGCAGGACAATAATTGTCACGGTTCTTATCCATTTGAAAGTATTGTTTAATCAAAATACTTGGATAAATGACCAATCCAAATATTCGTTCAACCTAAGCTTTTTACCATTATTGTTATTATTTACGCAAATAATAAAGCAGCCTATATTTACTGATGTACAGCACAACAATATCGAATCTCGGGTAAAAAACAATTACTTGTAACACTATGACAAATAAGAAATTTCGTAAAATTTCACGGTATACGAATAATGACAGTAATTCAGCATGACTCAGATTTGACAGGAAGTTCTTTTTTATCTTATTATCTATAGTCCCGAACTTTTTGAATGAATAAATACATGACTAGTAGATAAATAATTTTAATTTAAATAAATACATAAATATTAAAAAAATATGATGACCATTGTCAGCAGACAAAGAAGTCATAATTTACAAATGAAGAAAAAATCATATTTAAATGTTGAGTTCAACCGGTGTAACTTTGACGTTTTCGTAGTTCTTGAGCACAGGATAGACCTCCTCCTCCAAAAATTCGCTGACTTGCTCGGGCGCTCTGCCGACGAAAGTCGATGGGTCGAGGAGCGAGTCAAGCTGCCCAAGGATCGGCTCGAAGTACGGGTCGCTGCGAATGCGCTCGACCAAGTCGTTATCTTTGCCGTACTGTTTCACTTGCGCACCAGCCAAGTGCGAGTGTACGCGGATTTTCTCGTGGCACTCCTAAAAATGAAAATGGTTAATTGCATGGCCGAAAAAGGAGCGACAATGTAAACATTGGATTTATATTTTATACCTGTCGGTCGCCACCGGCTTTGACCATAGCCATGATGAAGTTCTCGGCAGCCATGAAAGGCAATTCTTGGGCCATGCGTCGCTCGATGACCTTAGGGTATACGATCAGGCCCTCGGCGATGTTTTGCAGTGTCATTAAAACATTGTCGGCCGAGAGGTAAGCGAGAGAAAGGCTGAGGCGCCTGTTGGCCGAGTCGTCGAGGGTGCGCTCCATCCACTGATTGCCGGCGGTCTGTAGCGCGTTGCTATTCAGATTCATGAGGAAGCGGGCTATGCTGCAGCAACGCTCGCTGCGCATGGGGTTGCGCTTGTAGGGCATGGCCGACGAGCCGATCTGAGTCGACTCGAAGGGCTCCTCGATTTCCTTCATCGACGCCAGCAGTCGGATGTCCGAGCAGATTTTGTGGGCCGTGGCTCCCAACGAGGCGAGTACATTGAGACACTCGATGTCGACTTTGCGGCTGTAGGTTTGACCGGTGACGCTGTATTTCTTCTCGAAACCTGCCATATTCGTTACGAGCTCGTCGAGTTTCTTTACCTTTTGGCTGTCCCCTGACAACAGCAACAGCAACAAAAGTTTTAGTACGAAACATACAAGTGCCATAAGCATAAAAAATCGACCGATTCGAGTGTGTAAATGTATTCACCATTGAAGAGTTGCAAGAATGATGCCTGAGTGCCAGTGGTGCCCTTGACACCGCGGAACTTGAGATCGCCCCGAGCACGGCGAATCGCTCGTTCGTCCATAAGCAAGTCTTGCAGCCAGAGGGTAGCTCTCTTACCGACCGTTGTTAATTGCGCCGGTTGCAGGTGAGTGTAGCCCAGAGCCGGTATCGATCGGTTGTCGTCGGCGAATTTGGCCAACCTCTGGATAACGGCCGCGAGTTTCGGTAGCAGAATGTCGAATCCGTCGCGAAGCACTATCAAGTCCTGAAACAATATGGACAAAACGATCGTGAATAATATCCTTCGGCGCGTTTCTGCCGATCGACTCACCGTATTGTCTCCAACGTAGCAGCTTGTGGCCCCGAGATGGATGATGGGTGCTGCTTTCGGACACTGACTACTGAAAACATGCACGTGGGCCATGACGTCGTGACGAGTGGCTTTTTCCTCCTTGGCCGCAGCATCGAAATCAATGTCGTTCACATGCTGTTCCATCTCGCTGATCTGGTCTTGAGATATGCTCAGACCCAGAGACTGTCAAATAAACAAAGCACATTGTATTATTGTTTCTTTTCATTTTACACTTATTGCAACTTTGTAATAATATATATTATATTTTTTATATTTCATCAATCATTCGTTTATTTTGTTTTTACTGATCGAATTTGTTAATTGAACATAGCCATTAAACCCAGGAATTAACCTCTCGAGGTCTTAAGTATAAAAAAGATTCCATGACTTTAGTCGGATCAGATTGAATAAAAATTTAATTATTTAAACGATTCAAAATGGCAAAACCCGTTAAAGAGTTAGCTACCAATATTCATTTCATCTTTAAAATAGGAATTTTTGTAAGTATCGCAACTATTATAAATAAAAATTAACATTAATATCTCAGAAAATTTAACGTGAATGTGAAAATCGGTAGATTTGTGGCATTGTGATGATGGGTCTTCTTTTACATCCGTACGATTCATCAAACAAGTCAACAATCATAGTTCTTGGTAGCAGCATCAGTCATCTCGGCACTATTGGAATTATTATAGTAGCAAAGATTTGGTTTAATGTCTCTAAAAAAATGGTTTGTCCAATATTTATACAAGTTGTTATCGTGCTTTAACTTTATGATTATCCAATACTTCCAGGATTTCATTTTTTCCATCGATTGTATGTTGAAAATGTTTTTGGTTTTCGGTTTGGGAATTTATTATTACAGTGGCTTTTACGGATATGGCTCTGAAGCTTACGATATGGATGGTAAGAAGCTCGAGTATTTATTTATTGAATCCAATGATTTTTTAAAAAAGGGTTTACTATATAGATAATGACAGAAAGTTTTACATATTTTGCATCTTTACCATGGGTAAGCAAATGAAAAAAATTGATAATTTTTATGATACTCTATTTGATAATTATAAATTATTTTTTGACAGTGATGCTAACATTTCACGTAACAGATTTTATTTTAAGATTGTTGGAATTTCGTAAATCATTATAATGTGCAACTTATTCAGAGATCGTTGAATGACAGATTATTATTTAGAAGTATCATCAACATTTTTATCCTTCTTGTACTTTACCATTAAAACTATAATATCTGCAACAATAAATAGACCTAATAAAAATGAAAAGAAATCTGCTTTACTTGCGTAAGCCATCTCTACTCCTACGAGGTTGAAAATCAGCATGAGAAGGTGCTGAAATTTAGAAGAAATGGCATGTTCAAAACGTCGTGAAATAATGTTTACAATAAACTGATATTACCGCCTCAAAATCGGGTACTTCATACAAGTACAGGAGTACAAAGCTAATGCAGTTCATCAAGTATCCTATGAAAATCCATGTCTCATAAACGCTCGATATGCATCTAGTTATGCTGTAGATGTGCGCCAAAATCATTATAACCTTAATGTCATAAATGATTTAGTACTTGAACAAAAGACCAAATTGCTCTTCAAACTTACCATTTGAACAATTCTCAAATCAAAGTTAGGATTCCACAAAAATTCACCACAGGATTTCCTCATAATTTTTCAGTTTACAAATACGGTATGCTTTGAAAAAGGGTTAATAAAATACTGAACATCTAGATCAACGATAACTTCAAGTAATAAAAAAAAAATAAATAGCGGGATAAAAAATGAGATTTTGAATCCTCATTGTTGCTACTTTTATGCGAATATTTAGTTGCTGGCCTTTGGTTGTTACCGTTACGCAGCTCAAAAGTTCATGTTACACATATTTTGTTGTTGCTATTATGTTGCAGGCCGCGCGCATGTCCGCATCACATTATCATGCTCGTGTTTATATCTTGTGTGCATCAATTAGTCCTACTTGACCTCAAGGCAGCAACGTATATAATATTGTCTAGAATTATACTTTTGCTTGACAAATAAAAAATTTGGATATTTTTCATCTCAAATTTGACTAGTAGTTGTAAATTCATTTTCGTCAATAAATGGTCATTTTTTAACTTCTAGTTTTAAAATTGTTTAAATACACTTGAATAATCGTAAAGGCAATTATGGAAATACTCGATAAAACAGTCTAACTAACATATTTATTTCGGACATTGAAGCTAGATTACTAAGGTTAACATAAAATAATTCAAAATCGCGGTAATACTTTTTTTCAAAAGATTAAATAAGTGCAAGTATGACAGTCTTATCCTTATAATTTTAGTCTAACTCCAAATTTATTTCTCAATTTGGAAAAATCTAATATCAATTTTCAATTAAACGGTTTCTAGCTATGATAGTAATGAAATCAATTATATTCTGGCAATTATTTAGCACAACTTAAATTATCCTTATTCAAACTATAATTACAACCAAAACTTTACTATAGAAGAATTCAAAATCGTGGTAATACTTTTTTTCAAAAGATTAGATGAGTGCAAGTATAACAGTCTTATCCTTGTAATTTGAGTCTAACTCCAAAATACTTTTTTTCTCATTTCGGAAAAGTTCAATCTCAATTCGCGATTAAATTATTACTCAGCTATGATAGTAATGAAATCTAATACATTCTGACAACTATAATTCAGACAAACTGAAACTTTTTTTCTCTAAGGATAAACACAATAAGCTTGAGTAGAATAATTTAATAGTGATCATGTTAAATTAATAATTGTATGAAAAAGGTCTTACTCATGACTCTACTTGCCCGGCCGTCTCGACCAAAATTGATGCAAACTTAACAATATAATATAGCGAAGGCTATTTGTACATTTGATGAAATTTCGATAGATGAATAGTTCAATTATTGTATAACTACGCATTCGAATTTACAGTAAAAATTAAATTCAAATTTTATATATATAAATTTATAAATGTTTATAACTAAGGGTCTTATTTTTCAATAAAGTGTATTTTAACACTCATCACAC